ATGGAATGTCCTTTGTGGTTTTTAGGAGAAAAACTGTCGCTCATGGTGTAAAGTATGTGAATGATAGGATCAGGATGCTTCTGTGAATATTGGCGGCAGCCATGGCGTCTATGGCGAGTAATATCTACATCCAAAGGGCCATACGAGGAGGGGACCTCAGAGTCACGAGAACGTCCCCAAGAACCGGAGATGCGACCATGATACGCCCATGCTGTGTCAAGAGCAGAGGAACACGTCACGTCGTCAGTAGTCGCTTTTTAGGTCGATACGAGATAGGCGCGTGGCAGGGCCGCGTAGCCTAGGACCTTAGGTGCGGTAGATGCGACCTCAAACGCGATTAGCGCAGTTCGCTTAGTGAGCAGAGACGTCGGAAAGGTAATACGTCTTAAAACGCATTTTAATTAGATAATAATAATACTACTTAAAATTTACTATTAGCATATATGTATAGCATTTCAGTGTTTGGATTCAGAGCACTCTTTGACGACGGCTAATGAGCCAGAAGTGGCAACTTCAGTCTCCCCTGTCTTTGCCGGCAATACTATCTGTTTCTACATTGTTTGAGATACGTTGGACTAAGACAAACAGGTTTTCGCTTGATTGCGCCGATAGGAGCGTCACAAACATAATGTATTTGATAAGTTCATGCGTTGACAGGCTAGTCAGTGACTGCCACACAGCTGCAGAATATTAGCGAGAATATCTGTCTAAGCATCTAGCTTTCCTGTCAATAAGCTCCATCACATCTTCCTTGTAAAAAACCGTGTTATGCCATATCAACACTTCAGCACCTAAATTATGTAGTTTATGCGAGAAATCTCTTGAATTAACGAACATTCCAACTGCGGCATGACGTGCGCTACTGTTTCTTCCCATCAGCTACCAATCGGCCGTGAGTACACACTGATTGTGATCGATGGTTATGAGCTATTAGTTGTGGATCCCAAGAAATCAGAACTCTGCCCGAATTCTGCAACCTCTACGAAGCCTGCGACCTCTACGGATTCTGAGGAGACTGGAGACGGGTTTCGCCTCAATTTTCATATTCGTGACGCATCAGGAAAAAAGGTGAGTTCTCTTCGATTATTTGCTGGAAAGCAGCCACATACGTCCTGGTTGATCGTATCCTCACCAGATAGACCATTGTTTATAACTCGGTATCCACCTAGATTTTAAACTGCTCACTATCTGACACTGCGTGTACAGTAAAACGAAGATCGAGCCAGTATATATAAATAAGGAGTTCGTCTACGCTTACTGCCCTACATGACCTGGCCCCTGCCATTTTGAGCAGCCTGCAGAGTTCAGAGTAAATCTACATTGACGATTCGCATATGCCACGAGTGGTAAATTTAGATTTATTGCTTCACTTTAAAGTTGGCCTTTAAAACACAGTATTTTGAACTTAGGCGAGGATACGTTTGCCTTCGATAAAGTTTCTTCAGACCTGTATTTTTAAATAAATACAGTAGATTCCCTTTCTCATGAAAGTTCAAAGGAAATCCTAAAATCTGTTTCGAATTTGAACAGAGCGTTTGATTTTATATTTCTTAAGGTATAGCCGAATCTCAAGATAGTTCAGTCATGGCAGTATGCCGGCCATTGAAATAGTTTCTTTCTGACTGACTGCCTGCATGAATTGTGTGAAAAATGACTACTTAGGCAGGTTGCATTTCCTGGCCGATTTTCGAAACTCTTATAAATTCAAGTATATTTTATAGAAAATATGTTCAAAATACTCCTTCTTGTACTCGTTTGGTTGACATTAACCTTACTTATACCTTGAAAAAGGGTATATTTCGGTTTTAAAAGGTCTCTCATCTAGAAATTTCTTACGGCCGTGAAATGTTCATCCATAATGCATCGCATCCCTCAAGTTATTAATGTTGTTTATAAAGTATACAACATGATTTACCTCCTTTCGAAAATTAAATGAGAACTCTGTGACCTCTTCCTTATACCATAGGAAATACGTACGTTGCATTGAACAGAATGCATACAGCAAGTAGATAGGAAAAATTGAATTCGAGTTTAATTACTGGCAGGGTTCAAAAGTATTCGACAATTTAAAATTTTGGAAAACCATAAAATAATCTTTCTTAGCGTACAAACTTTGAAAAGGGCACGAGTTTCCACCAAAAGTGTACACAAATGTAAAGTTTTATGTTCGTTTTCTTTAAAATAAATTTGAATTTATGAGGTCTTTTATGATCAACGAGAAAAATGCATGCTACTCAAGTGGCTATTTTATACAGAAAATGGTTTTCGCAGGTCGTCAGGAAGAAATCCGTTCAAAATTCGGCGTCATTACTGGCCTAAGCTATCTTGAGATGAGTCTGTAAAATAACTAGTGTCAAGGTCCTATTCGAGTAATTTTTTGAATTGAAAAGATATCTCAGAATGAAGTGGAACCGACAACGACAAAGGAGACCCGAATGACAATTTCTGGTTTGTTAGCTGTCACCAGTAAGTCATATGCAAGCCCAGGGGTGGCGACGCCCCGAACTTCAAATTTGTGTTCTTTAGTCATGAAATGCAAAAACTCTACCATTGAACCACGGGCTCGTTGCTTTGTTTTTGTTAATTGCGATCGGCAATATGATAGGAGAAGGGCACTAAGCGATCTGGTTACGGACCGCGGACGTCCATTTGTGCCTTGGAGCTCAATCTAAAAGGCCAGAAATGGACCTTTCGGTCTCCCTAGTCTTTAGTGGTTTTACTTCATGATATAGTACTGCTGCGAGGCACAACGAGACGAGCATTTTCCCTAAACAGATCGGCGAACGCCCTACTATCGACATCTTAGAATTTCGGTCGACATTTCAAAAAATAGGGAATCTCCTGTAAGTAACTGAAATATGAAGGCAAATAGAAAAAGTCATACTAGTGCTGGGGAGGTGAAGAGAACAAAGTTACTGTCACTATCATCAAATCAGAGCTAGGAGAATAGTGGAAATCGAGGCAGGTAATTATATTCGGGCCATGGTAACTGAGGTGCCTGAATGAAGCTTTCTGCGTGCACAAGACCGATCTGCCTAATCTGAGTGCATCCGCCTCTGCCAGAGTCAACAGACATTGCCCAGCTGCTTTTGACTAGCCTGCAGGGACCTTTTCAAGCACACAGAGCACCTCTTTAGTATGTGTCTACCATATGCGCCAGAATAGAGCTGGTTAGTTTCTTTACTTGGCCTTTTCCTATCCATGCTGGAAGGTGCCCTCTGATTCTTTTGGAAAAAATGT